TGACCTCTCTAATCTCCCGCTGCCTTTCTGCTGTAGCGCGCGGCACAGGTAATAATTCTGAAAATATTACCTTGGGGGTCCTTTTCTTTAGCTTACTTCCTAGATTCCTGAACTCACTCTTTAGGACCTTCCATTTTCCTCTGACTTTGTCATTGTTACCAATATGGACCATGAGAGCTGGGTCATTCCCAGCCCCTCCCAATAATCCCTCCACTCTGTCGGCAACATGCCGGACCTGAGCACCCGGGAGACAGCAAACTGTCCGGTTGAGATGATCAGAGCGGCAAATTGAATGCAGTGTGTGTATATGTGTAGTGTGTGTATATAATGAATGCAGAATGTGTGTGTATATAATGAATGCAGTGTGTATATAATGCAGAGTGTGTGTATGAATGCAGTGTGTGTGTATGAATACAGTGTGTATATAATGCAGAGTGTGTGTATATGATGCAGTGTGTGTGAATGCAGTGTCTTTATATAATGCAGAGTGTGTTTGTGTGTGAATGCAGAGTCTGTATATAATGCAGAGTGTGTGTATATAATGCACAGTGTACTTGTGTAGTGTGTGATATACATAAACTGTGTGGGGGGAAGGGCATTATTTATTATTTTAATATTTTTATTATTTTAATATTTGTTTTAAATTTTTAATATTTATGTTTAATTTTATTTTTATGTCCCCCTCCCTGCTTGTAGCCTGGCCAGGGAGGGGGGGCTATGTAAATCCCTGGTGGTCCAGTGGTGTGCACTATGACGGGGGGCTGGGAGCGAACTGTTACTTATATTTATAGCAGCTCCGTGTGTAAATCTTGCGGTCTGCTCACCGTGCGGAGCGTTGCCACGGGTCTGACGGCCGCGGGTCTCGTGAGATTTACACAGGGAGCTGAACGGAGATGACCGGAGCTGCTGTAACGGTAAGTAACAGTTTGCTCCGGCCCCCAAACGGACCGCCGGGCTTATAATGAGCCCGACGGCCCTGGTCTGTATTATGGCAATGTAAGTTGCCATAATACAGACCAGGACCGTCGGGCTCATTACAATTTAACTAGTATTTCTAGTTATAGTTGCAAAACCATGAAATATTCTATATTACTAGAATTCTAAAGAGCACTGGAGTCAAATCATATATGTTCATATCTGTACTCCTCTGGCAAACTCTTTTTGTAGTCATGGATAAACATTATTGGACTTTATATTTTATGCAAATGGAGACATTTTTTAACACAATGTAGAAAAGGAAAAAAAAAAGTTGAGATAATCACATGGCAAAGTTCTTTAACCCCTGTTTTGGCCATGTTGTACGTTAAAGACCAGAGCGGTTTTAACACTTTTTGTGGTGTTTGTGTTTAGATGTAATTTTCCTCGCGCTCATTTACTGTTCCCATACAAATTATATATTGTTTTTCTTCAGGAAATGAAGGGATTTCTTTACATACCATTATTTGTATCATGTCATATAATTTAATTAAAAATAATAATAAAATATGGTGAAAAATTGAAAAGAAAACATGTTTTATGACTTTTACTCATCCACAAAAGCTAATGAAAAAAAACTGCTAAATAGATTCAAAATGTTATCCTGAGTTTACAAAACACCCAGTATTTACATGCTTTTTTTTTTTTCAAGTTATAGGGCTATAAGTACAAGCAGGACATTTCTGTTTCAAAATATATATTTTTAAAATTTATCAATAGTGACATTGTAACACTGTTATCTGTCATAAATCTCTGAATCACACTCCACATGTACATTTTTTTTTTTAGACAACCCAGGGTATTCATCTAAGGATATTTTGATACTTTCTATGCAGCCATTTTACCACCAATCTTTGCCAAACTTCACATAGGTAATTTCTTTGTTTTATTTTTTCACATACATTGCAATTCAGGTATAAATTTACAGATCCAGTTATGTGTTGCTGCCAAAAAACACACTAATATGTGTCCAGCAACATCTCCTGAGTACAGTGATACCACCCATGCATAGGCTTGTCGGGTTGTTTGGGGGCTAAAAGGCTACATTTGGCAGGTGCGCATATCCATTTTCCAACTTGGAATTTTGGCATGTAGTCAACCTGCGCCCATGTCCTATTTGAGACATTTTTAAAACCGGCCAATGTATTTTACCCCCATCAAACCATATATTTTTGAAAAGTAGACACACCAGGGTATTTCAAATGGTGGTATTTTAACACTTTCATGCACTAATTTTACCACTAGCCTTTGTCAAACTTTTGGGTAGTCATTTTTGTGTGGTTTTTTCCCACACACATTGTATTTAGGCAAGAATTAACAGATTCTGTTATGTGTCACTGCTGAACAACACCCCAATATGTATTCAGCAACATCTTCTGAGTACTGTGATACTACCCATGCATAGGTTTGTCGGGTTGTTTGGGGGCTAAAAGGCCACATTTGATAGGTGCGCATATCAGTTTTCCAACTTGGAATTTTGACATGTAGTCAACTGCGCCAATGTCCTATTTGGGCCAATGTAATTTACCTACATCAAACATATATTCTTGAAAAGTAGACAACCCAGGGTATTTCAAATGGTGGTATTTTTACACTTGTGACTGCGTCTGTGACTGTCTGCCTGTGCCTGTGTGTGTGAATGTCTGCCAGTGACTATCTGTGACTGTGTGTGTATGTTACCTGTGGCTGTCTACCTGTGACTGCGACTGTCTGCCTGTGCGTGTGAATGTCTACCTGTGACTATCTGTGACTGTGTGTGTGAATGTCTGCCTGTGACTATCTGCCTGTGACTGCGTCTATGACGGTCTCCCAGTAAATGTCTGTGACTGTGTGTGAATGTCTGCCTGTGACTGTCTACCTGGTACTGCATCTGTGACTGTATGACTGTGACAGTCTATGCCTATGAAGGTCTGCCTGTGACAGTTTACCTGGGACTGAGTGTGACTGTCTTCCTGTGACTGTGCGAGAGACTGTCTGCCTGTGCCTGTATGTATGAATGAATGTCTGCCTGTTATTGTCTACCTGGGACTGTGTATGACTGTCTGCCTGTGAGTGACTGTCTGCATGTCACTGAGTGTGTGTGACTGTGTGCTGTCTGTAACTATGTTACAGTCTGCCTGTAAGTGTGTGTGTGTGTGTGTGTGTGAGACTGTCTTTCTAACTGTGTGTGTTACTGTCTACCTGCAGCTGTGCAAGTGACTGTGTTTGGTACAGTGTGCATGTGGCTGTATTTGACAGTATATGCGTATTACTGTGTACATCTGACTGTATCTGACTGTCTTCGCCCTGCAGTGAGTCGGCACATATCATCCAAGCATCGGCGTCATATTACAGGATGTGCAAGGGACGTGTGCATGAAGAGCACAGAGATCCTAGCAGCAACCACTGACTACCAGGGACTGAGGATCCACTCTAGCTCTCCCAGAGCAAGGTAGGGAGGCTGGGTGGACCTCTTAATTATTAAATGTGTGCATGTATGTGATGTTTGCGTGTGTATATCTAATTATGTGTGCTTGTAATTGTATGTGTGTGGGTCTGTGATTGTGTATGTCTCTGTAGTTAAGTGTGTGTGTGTGTGTATGTATATGTATACATACATACACACACACGCACTTAACTACAGAGATACACACACAACCACACACATACACAATCACAGACACACACACAATCACAGATATACACACACAGACAAACACCTATTGTGTTATTGTGTGTGTATATAAATGTGTATGTGTTTGGTACATAGCTCCCTTATTTGGTGTCCTTAAATATTGCAATCCCACATAAGGATAACAAATAAGGGCGTTATCTACTAAACAACTGAAATTAAGAAAAGGTTTTTTTTTTTAAATTGATCTTTTAGCTGTTTAGTTGATAATTCTCTAAATTGGTGTCCTTATGTGAGATTTCCATATTTAAAGATACCAAATTAGGGTGCTGTTTAGCAGATGGCTCCCTTATCCTTATTTGGTGTCCTTAAATATGGCAATCCCACATAAGGATAGCAAATAAGGGAGTTATCTGATAAACAAAGATCAACGTTAAGAGGTGTCAGCTAGCCCACGAACAAGAAATCAGGGTGGCTAATGTAAATTATATGCAAATGTGTTGACTGATGCCAATGTGCACTGCATGCTGGCATCAGGCAGCCAATGGCAGCACATTACCCCATCCCCTAGTGAAAAGTTTTAGTGCCCCCCCAGTTTGGATTGTGGTATCTTATGTGCCCACCCCCTATATATTGTTCCTATGTGTCTATGTATCTGCATGTGTGTCAGTGTGTATTTAGGTGTGTTTGTGTATATGTGCATACATCTCAGAATCTCGCCAACACTACACACAAATACACCCCTGTATTTCAACGTCAACACTACATACAAACTCCACCATTATATATAACCACACCACTGCCTTCAAACACCACACTACAAAAAAATGCATGCCTGCATTCAAACGCCAACACCACATACAGACACACTTCCTACATTCACTCAAACATACTCCATACAAAAACATGCTTACATTTAAAAGCATAAACACTGCTTAGTGCTCAATACATTTATTTATTTTTAAATTGTGGTTGTTTTTTTACATTTTAAAGTTGGGGGGTGGAGGGGGGGTGCCAAAAATAGGACCCACCCCGTGTGCCAAATGCTCTAGGTACGCCGCTGTTTGTATGTTTTACAGAGATTTATAATTTTAATGTATTTTATATTTTTTCCAATAGGAGGTGTGTAAAGAATTTTCCATTGAAGACATAATTTCAGTGAGGACAACTCAAGTGAGAGAATGTCTCATTCCTGGGTTCCAAAAAAAATAACCTTATCGCTCTCCGCGTAGTCTCTATGTTTGTCACTACCAGATAGTCTCTTAAATGATAGAACCTTCTATATGAAAATAATGTCCTAGATTCTAAAAGTACAGCTGTAGATGTTTACATCTCTGAACGTAGGTCTGATGCTTGAGAACATAGCCATGCAAAAGGTGATAAAAAAGGACATTCTCTCTATTCTATCCTTCCTATAGACCCAGCCCATTAACGTGTTTCCTCTGTACGGGGCATTCCATTCACATGCATCTCCTTTTATTCTTTTGAGCTACTCTATAAATCCCTGCTGTATTGTAAAGAGAACAAACAGTGATATGTCATGTGATAGGCTGGGATGCTGGGAACGTCCTCTTCCTTTTCATAAAAAATAGATGGCGTAGCAGCAAGCATTTTTTCACAGTTCCCAGGAGGTTAAAGGAATACATCAATCACCATAATTGTTACAGCACACTGCAGTGGTTATGGTACCAGGAGTATCCTGACACCTTCTCTTGTAAGTAGTCAAACCATTTGCTAACGGTTTGACTTCTTTCCTGTGGCCCACTGGGTGCCGCTCTATGCCTCTCAGAATTGGTGCAGAGCTCATAGCTCATTGACAACGAGAGACCAGCTGCCACTTCAGCCAATGAGCTGGCCTTGCACAGAGTGGGAGCTTCCGTCTCTCAGATCAGACAAGAAGGGGCAGGGAGAGCGCCCAGCAGACCGCAAGTAAAGAAGTCAAACTGTTATAAAAAATGGTTTCACTGCTCATAACAGCAGTGTTTCAAGGCTCACCTAGCACCATAACTACTACCTTGCACTGATGTTATGGTACTTGACGTGTTCCATTAAGTTTTGTGCAAAAGGATGCTGATTATACAAATTAATGATGGATAGGAAAAGGGGAGGAAAGATTTTTTTTAAATCTTTCATATTATAATCTCTGATAGTTTAAGATTTAGGCCATGAGCACATTCTGGTGTTGAGCTCCAGTTCTCATCACTCTGTGCCTTGTAGACTGGAGTAGTGTTGTATTCTGTCCTAGAATAATGTACACACCTATATAGCAGTGTCATGGAATTAGGAAATTAGCAACTGATTAGAAAAACTGAATAGTTTTTAAAGAGTATTTATGTGACTACTTAATTCAAATTAAACTAATTCTAAATGTGCTTTATTTGTGATTTCCACATTTTTTTATGCTCAACTCTTGGAAACCTGCTCCAGAAATTGGCTATCAATCTGCAGAGTAACGTGATTAATGTGATACAAGACGTTTTTATTAGCACATTAGCTTTCATTCACGGATATCTCTTCCTCGGATTGGAGTGATCAGCAGAACTGTCACCGCGCTATTTTCTGAGAATGTTTCATTTGCGTCCATGAGCCAGATTGCTTTCTACACATCATGCAATCCACTCTATATTTAAAAGTCTTAATCAGGTTTTCCAATTAAGCAAATAAGGGGTTATCTAAGCATCAAGTCAAATTCTCAGTAGTTAAAATGTCCTACTGCTCTTGTGTTCCGAATCTCTACCATTTGACAATAATATTCATTGAAAGCATTATTCAACTGTGATAAAGGCTTGGGTATTTAATCTATATAGATTGTACACATTGCAAAGAGAAATGAGGTGACTATTGATAGATTCTTGTGTGTAGGACTATGCAGCATTTTAAAAGGCCATACACCTTCTTTTTGTAAGGGTCCTATGTGGTTTTTGGCAGCACAGATGTATTTTGTAGTTTAGTACATTTATCAGATGCAGATTTTTGTTATTTCATATCTTTGAGGAGTGCTGGATTTAAACCCAGTTTTGGTCTACTTTTTCACCGTGTTCCAGCCATCTGGGACGCTAGAGAAAAGTCTTTGCTGAGAAACAGTATAATGCAGTCCAATGGAGACAAATAGGCAGAGGAGGGCCTTGACAGTTGTGCTGAGCAAGGCTGTATAGATTGGTGGCTATAGAAAGGGGGGATGGGCATTGGGAAGAGCATGTAGAGGCTGGTGTAACATGAAACACTCCAGCCATTTTAGTTTTGCAACTGTCCCCTCTTGCTGTTGTCCCTTCCTCCATAGTTTGGTAGTTTATGGGGTTTGGGGTGTTGGGGTGCAACCTCCACGTTTTGCCGGTGTTTCGTCACAAGGACAGCAGTGCCGAAGGAGATCATTGTTGAAGCCTTGGGGTGGCTTGCTCCTGGGATGGTCTATGGCCTCAAAATGTAGGCTGGGTCAAAAGAGGGGCTCAAAGCCAAAATGGGGGCTGGAGAGGTAGTTCTGTTGCAGTGCTCAGATCAGCAGTAGCAGAGGAGATCGTTGTCGCAGCCTTGGCAGTAGCTTGCTCCTGGGGATGGTTTATGGCCTCACAATGAGGATGTGGTGATATCTTAATGGAGGCTTGGTGAGCGGTTTTGAGCCAAAAGAGGAGCTTTTAGCCTAAATGGGGGACTGGGCAGACGGTTCTGTTCCAGCAGTTGGATCGGTTCCAACAGGTGGGTCCCTGGGAGCAAGCTGGTGCTGGAAAGGTTAAATTGTTAATGGTTAATTATACTAATTACAGTCTGGAAGTTATTTAGGGTTATGTTAACCCTGTGTTAAAAGCATTGTCATTGCCTAATGTTGCTATAAGGTTCAATATATATTTAATGTTAATTGGAGGCAGTGGCCTTTTCTACCCAGTACGTCTGTGCCTTGTGGATTGATTTACAGTAGACACAACCTGGTAGTCGAGGCTACAATTGTCAGGGCTATAATAGATGGACTCACACTGCACAGAGTGTACGTAAAGACTGCTGCAGCTTCTAATACCCAACCCTTTTCTCAACTGATGGAACTCTTTTTCACACAGGCCATCCCACCATCAATTAACAGCATGCCCACCCTTTGGGCCCTTATTCCTGTCCCAAGTTCTTACCACCCAATGATGAAGGACAGGACTTTACTATCTAAAGGATTTTGTCAGGTGTAGGGACAGTTCAAATTAGGATTTGGACACCAGCAGCTATGGTAACAAGGGACAAATCTTCTTTAAAAAATGGTAACAAACAGACAGAACTCAAAGGCAGTAACAGGAATTAAAATGGAACAGGACCCCAAAATCGGGACTGTCCCAATGACATTGAACATTGAGAACATTGAGAGGCATGCTATAGTTTCCTTCTAACTAGTTAGATGACCACCTGCTCCCTGGTTCTACTAAATAAAGACATTTTACTTACCTTTTCTCCCTGGGGTCCCACATCCAAGGCTGAAAGCATTAGAAAAGCATAGGAAAGCCATCTATACGTTGTGCCAACAAAAGTGAGTTTTACAGGGACATTTTTGGCACCATAATCATCCCTTGACCTGCACCCAGCACATATCATCCCAATTCAATGCCTCACATTGAAAGTCAATGATTCCATATAAGAAGTATTAGATTTGTGACACTAGTGGTAGCTATGCGTGTGACATATGTCCTTAGTGTTTCTTTATAAGAAGCATTTGATTTGATCAGAATAAGCAGATCAGATTTGGATGAAGAGGCTATTATAACACTAGAATAACGATAAGTCTAATAGTTTAGTTTTTTTAATGTTTAAATAAAAAAGCAAGAAACCTTGCTTCCCTTTAACTTGTGTGTTGATTACGGGGGCCTGTCATACCCTGCGGTGGAAACTCTTTAGCCAGCGCTTCTAGTGCTGACTACGGAGTATGGGAACGGAGTTACACGTTGTCATTACGTTTCAACACCGCCATGTTGGCAACGAAGCCAGCGTGCTGACGTCACTGATGAGATTTGCTCTGCTTGGGGATCAGAGACCTTGGAGGAGCCGAGATGGA